CGTGTTGGGGAACTCAAGAAAGTCAACAGCGCTACTAGTTTACGGGGTCTCTCCGGGAAGTTCCGACACGCGGCTTCATCCAAAGTTGCGATTCCGCGTTTTATTGCAAAGCGCAGTAACAAAAGTCGCGCAGGGGCTGCATAATGACCGGTAGGACTTGGTCGAGCACATGGGTACCTGAGCGGCAACCAATCATGGCGGATGGTTTTTATTTTATTGATCAAATATTGATAGCGTCATTGCTATTGCTAAGTCGTGAGATGAGTAATCGCCATTGTCCTAATTAGTAGAACAATGGCTTCCCTCAACCAATTGCATTATTACCGCACCATCACGTGATCAGTAGTTAAACAGTATATAAAGGCGCTGTACTGAGGTTTGGCCCCTCAGACTTCAGTCTACTCTAATACTACCAAGTATTTATCTAAGAACAACCGTTAGCCTCGGGCTAATAAGATCAAATCTAAGTGAGCTTTTTAATCAAATACGTCTACGACAGATAGCATGGGCAAACAGGAACAGAGTAAGTCGATCTCGAGTCACAGCGCTTTCCCTCTGAGCCAACTCATGTTGCAGTCGAATGCACACAGACTCCAGACCAGCTACGCGACAGTAGAGCAGCTGGTGCCCCAGGCTCTCACCACCACCACTTTGGGATCGGTGACTCCAGCCTCTAGGCATAAGGCCTCCCCGAATCAGGCGAACAGCTCGAGCTCTCAGCAAGCCCAGTCGAGCTTGCCCGCCAGGCCTACTAGGGGTGGAAGATCCAGCGCCTCTCGGAAAGATGAAAACCGGTCAAACGTTCGTCCCCAATCCTGGTATACAAGTACACGGTGCGATCATCCAACCACAGAATGCAGCACCTCATGTCTTGTTGATCGTCGGCAATGCAAGCTCTGCAAGAAGAAGCTGACGCGGCGTCACGCTCAGCAAGTCGTCTGTGATTCATGCTTACAGTTCCAGGTGAAAGGTGAGTATGCGCAACATCCAAAGCAATGCAATGACGGCGTTGGCTTCACCTGGGACGCAAGGTCATGAGACTCAGAGGATCGAGGATGGAAGAGGATGGACGGAATTTCGAGACTTTCGATAGGACAGGAGCGGTCATGGGTATTTGTGAGTTATTGCTTCGCTTTGATAATCTTCTATTGTCCCCGTGTACACTATTCTGCGATGACCTGACGTTTTTTCGGATATTTATCACGTTCATTAGGTGCTCACTCTGTAAAGTATTGTACGCAGAAAGCGGTCTTGTTTCTATTTAACATGTTGGAAACTATACTATACACAATCGCTAACTATCATCAAATGCATATATATCACGTCAAACGTCCGTCTTTATCAAGTCCTACCAAGCTCCTCGACTACTCTTCATGTAAGCTCTAAGCCCGTGTAAGGCTTGTTAATGCTGAAAATCTGGGCGTCGTTCACAGCCTCGGCCGTCAACCCAGCCACCCTCAAAAACAGCGAGCCGTCGATCTGCTCCAGCCCCTCCCACCCACAGTTTGGTGCCATCGTCACCAAGTACCCCGCCGGGCGATCGCCGAACCGCTCCGCGAGGTGCAGCAGCGCGCGGATGAGCTTCGCGTAGTGGTCGTCCTTGGCCACAATCGCGCTCTGCACGTGTGTCGCCCAGGGATTCGCGTTGCCCTCGGTCGCAGCGAGGACCTTGGCGTCGAGCTGCGCGGGCCCCGTGTAGCCCGCGTCGGTGCCTGTGCTGCTACTGAAACCGGCGGGGACGATAAACTCGGCGGCGGCGGTTTCCTTCCAGAACGTGGTGATATCGAGGGGAGGGCGGCTGAACATAAGGTAGTTGGTGAGTGAATTAGCGAGGTACGCGCGGAGGAAGATCTCCTGCGAGCGTTTGGATAGCTCGTATAGGTTCGGGCCGAGGAAGAGGCATGAGGTGACGAGGTGCATGCTGGGTCATGCACACAGATATCAGCGTGCGATTCGTGAAGGGGGACGTGATAAAGACGAAACGCACTTGTAGAAATCGGCCTGCAGGCCCTTGCCTTCGTGGTACCCGGCAACGCCGTATAAGATTACCATGAGCCATTGCAACTCCTTGATCTTGCGATCGAGCTCGCCAGGCTTCGAGAGGTCGATGCTCCATTCGAGCGCATGCTTGAGCATGCGGTCGGTGTTCGCTTCGAACGTGACTTTGATGTTCTCCTGCGGCGTGTTGAACTGCCTCATGACGAAGTCACCCTCGTAGACGAGGTTGAGAACGTCGAAGACGGTCCGGGGGCGCATGACCGTTCAGCGAGGGAAGAAATCATAGGACCCGCAGTTCGACACTATGAGCGTCATAAAGATCCCTGATTATTGAGCAGCACACTCTTGGCGGTACAGTCGACTCTCCAATAACCCATACACGTCGGGAGAAGCCCCAGAGCATGGGTTATTAGAGAGTATGGGATAATAGAATATCTCATAAAATAGGGGCTATAAAGTTGGCAATTTTTATAGATCGTTTTAGTGTATACTACCACAGCACAAGTGTTTCCAATCCGCTGAGATTGATCAGAAGTGATTTAATGGCAGTGTAAACTTTAAGCTCAGCATGTGCAGTATGGCATTCTTCCCGAGGGTCACAGATCTTTCTGGAGTGAATCAGTCGTTGATCAGGAATATGCAGAAAATGGTTGGTAGCATTGCAAGCGGAGAACAAGGGATAACTTCAGCACCAGCCCTGGGTTATTGGAGGTGCAATGTCGGCCATGGCACTGGAGCCTGGAGGTGATTAATTGATTTTCGAACTTTGGGCCGAGAACGTGTTGCAAACATGCTATGAACATGTCAAAGTATTTGCCGCATTGGGCACGTAATACCATATATAGGATATTACCTCCGTTAGAATGACCAAAACCCAGCCAACTTACCCCTTATGGCTTACAAATATGATCTAAAAGCTCCGAAAGTATGGGTTTTGCCCCTCAAAAACGCATGGGGTATGGGATATCGGAAAAATATGGGTTTGAGTGACGATTTTGGTGGGGACCAACTCGGGAGATACCAAAACGCATGGGTTATTGGAGAGTATGGGTTTATAGAACCATGGGTTATTAGAGAGTCGACTGTACATGCAGATCATCGCCGGGGACTAACCACTCGATATCGTTCCTAGCCGGGTAAAAGCTCGCTAGCGATCATGTCCGTGCGTGCTAGTACCAACTTGATGACGAGGAGTTGCCGTGTCTGTCGCATCGCATACATAGTCAGTCGATGTCGTCGGCATGGTGGACGCGTACTGCTGCGGCAGAGGCTTGTCAAGACTAGCTCGGAGTCAATGTGCAATTCGGGATAGTCCGGGTCCGTGGGAAAGACAGGGGTTGGAATAGAGACGACCTGATTGGCCAATATGCTATGTTAAGGTCAGCTCTCCAATACAGTACTGTTAGGTTAGGTCGCCGATTACCCTCGAAGGACACTAGGAGCTAATTTATCCAACAAATCGCTCGCAAGGCCGACGAGCGACGCAGAAAAGCGAGTGTGGCTTGGACAAGGTTTGGAAAGTTCCATGAGCAGTTCAGTCGTGGGAAACGCGTTTTTGACTGCGTTCTACCTCACCAGTTCTTTCACAAGCTCCGTTTTGCTTTCGTGTCTCTCATATAACACTCGCCGAACGTCCACTTCTGCACCACTAGCATCTCTCGAGGGTGTAAACAATGAAAACCCCACATTACTGTGGACACACGCGGTGTCCTGTTGGGTCGCGACCACGGTTTCACCATCATCTGGGGCCTATGCGCAACCGCTTGTCCAATATCTCCCGGAGGCCCGTTTGAGCAACGACCGGTTCTGCGGGCACGACATTGTCACCGGTGTCTCGCTGTTGTTCATAAAAGGATGCGGCGATGAGGACATGAGGGTATTGCGGTAACGTGTAGTGTATCCTAAAGTTAACGCTCACGCTACTCCATAACACTTCCATAACCTCGCCGCCGGTCCGGCTTCAAGCTTCAGGTTTGATCTACATCTAGCCACCTGCATCACGGGTCCCAGGAACATACTCCCCACCTGCAGATAACAGAAATAAACCATCACGAGCTTGCTTGCGTCTAGCACGAACACGATGATGAGCTCGGTCACGGGTGGATGGAGACCTGCTCAGCATATAACCTGCGCCAAGTCAACATCTCGCCCCTTCTCAGCCTCGACCGAACAGCCATGTCAACCGCCACTGAGACTGTCACGCAGACTACAGAGACGCTCGCGAGTCTGTCCTTGAACAAACCCAACGAGGGCGAGAAGAAGGAAGAGTACCGTTATTCCCACCTGCTGCCTCACTTCGACCATCAGCTCAAGTACCCGCCACTCGTTCCGTTCGAGCATGTCGACCCTGGCCTTCGTGCGCTCAAGCACGCAGACCAGCGTGCGTTCCTCAACGGCGCCGATAAGGTCGTGCAGCTGACGCCGAGGCTGGGTACCGAGGTGCGCGGCGTGAACCTGCTCAAGCTCGGCAACGATGGTCGGGACCAACTCGCGCTCGAGGTGAGCTTTAGTGTACCATGCTGCTGGTATATGTTGACGTCACGTTCAGGTCGCGAGGCGAGGTCTCGTCGTGTTCAGGGGTCAGGAGGAGTTCATCGACGCTGGACCCGAGTCATACCTTGAATGGGGACGTTACTTTGGAAGGTAAGTCTGACAGCCAATGCCTAACATTCGACACACTTAGTTTCCCATGCTCATATGCTCGGTTGCCCACTCAGGTTGCACATCCACCCCACCAGCGGCCACCCAAAGAACTACCCCGAGTTCCACCTCGTGTACAAGTACGTCCCATCCACGAGGTCACCTAACACGTGCATCATTACTGACGCTGACCATCCGCCACAGAGACGGAAACTCAGACTTCAACACGATCTACGAAAACAGCATCACCATGACCGGCTGGCACTCCGACGTCTCCTACGAGCTCCAGCCGCCCGGCCTAACCACCTTCTTCCTGCTCGACTTCCCGACCACGGGCGGTGACACCCTCTTCACGTCGCAGGTGTCGACGCTGCACCGACTCTCGCCCCCGTTCGTTGCGTTCCTGCGCACGCTCAGCGCGGTGCATTCCGGCTTCGAGCAGGCGGACCGCTCGCGTGGCGGCGGGCGCGGCGGGGTGGTCAGACGCGAGCCCGTGGAGCACGTACACCCACTGGTCCGCAAGCACCCTGTCACCGGCGAGGAGGCGCTGTACATCAACAAGGGATTCACGAGGCGGATTTTGGGCCTGAAGAAGGAGGAATCAGGTAGGCTCTCATGACGTCATTGCCATTTAAGGCCTAAAGACGTGCTTGCTAACGAACATTCGACAGAGACGCTCCTCAATTTCTTGTTCAGCCACGTCGCCGCGTCTGTAGATCTGCAGGCTAGAGTCAAATGGGAGCCCGGGACCGTCGTCCTGTGGGATAATCGCATCACTGCTCATGTGAGTAAAAGCATCCACCATGGCGGGGATTACATCCGGAGACTCACACTGCATCTCCAGTCCGCGGTTGTAGACTACGCTGAGTCCAATCAGCGCCGCCACGGTCTGCGCATCACGCCGCAGGCCGAGAGGCCCATCCCTGCTCTGGAAGGTCTGCAGATCCCGACGTTGTGAAGGAGGAAGAACGCTACATGATGTTGAAAATGATAGTGTAAGATACATGTATGCATAGATGATCACTATTGTACCATTGAAAACTTATGTTTTGTGTACATGCTTGACTTCCGGATAAAACTTTGGCTGAATTTTGGGGGTCGTGGCCAACGCAGTAATACTGTAATATTAACGCCCAGAGAATTCTCTCCCGTCCGGCAACTACCGAAAGTCTTCAAATTCCGACGGGTTTCGAGGAGCACTTACACATTCGCCACTACTGGGTTCACTCTATACTGCGCTCGCAGGTTTATGAACTCTCAGACACTCTCCTTCAAACATTACATGGCAAAGGAAAGAAAAGACCTACAGCCACTCATGAGGATGAGGGCCCAATAGGCATCCAGCTTAAGGACGCCTCGTGTACGGCCCTGAACTGTCACCATTTTTCTCATGAGCCTCTTTAAAAGTCGGGGCGAAAATTTCGCCTTCCGTCCAATCCTGTTTCAACACCCATGTCCGACTCTCAAAACGCGCGACTCCCTCCTGCTGCTCTTGTCCGCCTCTTCAAACTTCACTTGGCTCTTGTGCGTAGCGAGTATTCTAACTTGCGGATGGCCCCGCCCGAGCGCGACGTTTGGCCACTCCTCCACGTGTGCCGCGAGTGGCGCCGCGTTGCCCTCGCCACACCACATCTCTGGAGGCACGTATCCTTGGCATGGTCGCCTAGGCTTATCTCGGTCGCTATCGCCTTCTCTAGTAACGAAGAACAAAAGGCTCTGTTGACGCTCTATTGCACTGAACATCCTATTCCCTCGCCCGACGATGCGAAGATTGTCGCTCTTTCAGAAGGTCTCTCCCGAGTGAAAGGCATGTTCTTGGTCCGTCGGGATATCTCTCAGGACAATGCCCTCCAGCGTACTCTCTCTCTCCTCAGCTCCTCGCTCGAAACTCTTGTCGTTGTTTCCCTCGAACCGAATCTCCTCCAGCTACCGACACTAACCTCTTTGAGACGCCTATGCGTGAAGGGTTGCGGCATCCGTTTTGTCGATCCAGCGCTGTCCCCCCTGACTCACCTGATCATAGCCGGCGGCTCCGCGTCAAAGCCCGTAGTGACCCTTCGTGATATCCATCGGATGCATCCCGCCTTGACCGTGCTCGAATTATTTGGCTCCATCGCCATGTCCTCCGACACTGAACCTAACCACAGCCTCGAACGAATCCACATGTCGTGCAGCAACCCGTGTCTTCAGCGCATCTCCATTGAGAGTGACCTGCTAACAGCCCAAGCACTCTTCAAACTCATCGACGCTCCACCGACTGTACAACTGCATGCGCGTTGTACTTCCCTTTCTCCATCCGAGGGGCCGCTAGAGATGGACAACCCAATTCTTTTCCTCTCGCTTGTGGATATCATTGCAGAGGAGCGCTGGGTGCCGACGTCACTCGTCACCAGCGTCAGTGAATTGTCTCTCCGCCAGTACCGGACCACCCGAGGCTACGGGCTTGTGGTCTCGTGGGGCCCTCCTGCGCCATCGTCGACGGATCAGAAGCCCGATCTCCGTTTCTCGGTAGACATGAGCTCATTTGTCTCGGAAGGCTCGGTGTATGGTACATTAAACGCCCTAGTCCACGTGCTCCCGTATGACGATTTCCCTGTGGTCCATGTCTCCGGCTTTGACTCACCATCAAGCTACCTTCAGAGGCGGTTGTGGGGACTGTTCAGCTCTGAGAGCAAGATGACTCGGCTGAGCGTCTCTGGCTGCCATTCCAGAGGACTCCTTAATGCTTTCAAACAAGGTCTACCCCGCGCCCCGTCACAGCAACAGCCGAAATCTCCTTTACGACTCCTGTTTTCCAGCTTGTTTTCACGCTCCCCCACAATCACTACGCACGAACCTGCTTCACCATCCAGCCCTGACGGCACATTTGTGCCCTTGCTCACAAACCTTTTCGTTGACGGTTCTATGTAACTTTGGAGCGCTGATAAACGCTCCTTAGTGACGACTTTCGATATGAGAAAAGCTTACAAGCTCGATTCCATGCCCTTACAAAAAGTTCTCGGATAGATCATCAGACGACGTCTAGTAAGGTCCAGTAGAAACCTATAGCTATAATATAACGACTCGTTTCAACATCATCACTGTACCGTCTAGGATTTCCCCAATAAAAATCACATCTACAAGGAAAGATTGCTAAGGGAAAGAAATCTAAGCTAGATTCCATGCCCTTAGCACTCTTTCCGTGAAATAGGAGGGGAAACCTGATATGTTTCTTTGACTCGTTTGCATAACTTACCATATCATGCCAGATTAACGGCGTCAGCGTTATCGACACAAGGAAATAGTGAAGTCGACAAACCTCGCGATCGACGGGGCGTTGTGCTAGATTGATAAGGATCCGTACGGTTACAGAATGGTTTCGATTATCGATGGCGATCTTTGCATGTATCTAGAAGGTTACTAGGTGAGGCAGCCTCCTCATCATGGGTGGAAGAAAAATCAATACCGTCCCGTATTCGCACGGCGACCAGGTGGAGGCCATATACGATTATTGATCTTCAAGTATAGTACGTATGAGGGATGGAATCTAGAAAGGTCAGTGACAGGAAACACAGCAGGTCCGACGTGCAAGGCCTCACCATGGAGAGCACGATCAAGGAAGATACGATAGCGCCATCATCCGCTGCATTCGTGCAATCAACACGAGTAGCGAGAACAGTACTTATATCAAAATTGATGCGAGGATCAGATCTAATGAAAGCATTCAGAGACATGCGCATATACTCACCGCCATGACCTCGTCAGCGCTTATCGTCAACATCTGGTAATGCAGGCGCTTCTTCTACGTTCGCCTACTGCACTACGTTGCATCCTGAAGGTCTCTTCTTGGATCGTCCTTATCCACGCCTCCCGTTCGACGTTCCTCTGAAGTCCTTTCCTAGGGCATATAGATTGTCTCAGAGCTTAGAGAAGGCTAGGAAGGAAACGAGAGGCGTACTGAGCTGGACATGGAAGTGAACTGATGTGATGAGGTCGCTGCTCGCCACGGCACAGCACTGTAGCGCGGAAGGAGAGCTGTTTCCGTATCCTTTCAATCTGTCCAATCAATCATCTCGATTCTCGGACAAAGGTACGCAGCTGCAGCGGCAGAAAGCTCCGCCCGGAAATTACCGGAGGTCGTTCAAAGTCCGACATGTTTCGTCGTCTTCTTCCCTCAAATACTTATCAGTGCTGCGCAGGTGTGTGAGACTCCTCGTCATGTGCAAACGAACTGGACTGTGACTATGTTGGCGACGAATCAATGCATTTCAGGGTGTTTGGATGATTCGCCGCACGGCGTTGTCGAGGCTTAGAGTTCGCGTCATCACGTCCTTTCTCACAGACAGTCTGGATCCCTAGTAGTAGCTTCGCGGCTAACCGATGCCTCATGACATATCCAGCGCCCACACGCACATTTATCCTGTCTCGTGTTTCACCTCAAGAACCCAGCTGCCCCTTTCCGGTGATTTATATAACTTTGGCATAGAGTCGTGTGTTAATCCTGACAGAGATAGACTGCACACTTCTCCGCATTCACCACCACCAGTTCCCTCACACACGGGCTCAGTCTCTTCACTGAACCTTTCCTCTTGCCAGAGGGCTCGAGGACTATCATTTCCATTCACCCCCTACAGATGTCGTCTTATCCCGATGATGCCATTAGCATTCGAAAGCCCTTCAAAGGGCACACCAAACCCGTGCATGGAGTTGCCTACAGCCCAGATGGCACCTTGATTGCGTCAGCCTCCGCGGATACGACAATCCAGATATGGAACTCAAAGACTGGTCTGCTGATCGGAAAGCCTCTGGAGGGTCACAATGGCCCGGTCAGCTCCGTCGATTTCTCTCCCGATGGCCACCATATACTCAGCGGATCACTGGACAAAACCCTTCGCGTTTGGGATATTTCGACGCAGACGTGTGTCTGGGGGCCGATGAAGGCATGTAAACAGTTCATCTCTGCAGCTTATTACTCCCCGGATGGAGACCTCATCGCTAGCACGTCTGAGGAGCAGTCAGTACGGCTTTGGGACGCAAGATTGGGGGAGTCCTCCAAGACTCTGCAGCACCAAGGGGGAATGGTTAGACGTGCAATCTTTTCCCCCTGCGGAAGACGGATCGCAACCGCTTGCAACGATAAACTGGTACGGGTATGGGACACCGCCTCATGCCAGCTTGTTTTCCCGCCGCTCGTTGGGCACAAGTCGGAGGTATGGGCGATAGCGTATTCTCCTGACGGTCTCTTGCTAGCAAGCGGGGGTCGGGACTGGACCATCCGTTTGTGGAATGCCCAAACTGGTACTCTAATCAAAGGCCCTTTGAAGGGACACCAAATTGGTTTATCCGACCTCGCGTTTACGCCCGACGGACAGACGCTTATCAGCATGTCACGTAGAAGTTTACGCGCTTGGAATCCACTGACAGGCGACTGTCTTTGGGGTCCTAAATATAGCGACACGATCCTCTGGCGCATCTCCATTTCTCCGACGCATCCTACCGTCGTACACGGAAGAGGTCCTGAACTGTGGACTCGAAGGATAGTTTCTGGTGGACTCGCTCTTCCCGAAGTAAGCGAGCCAATTATCTATTTTATGTCGTACTCAATTTATCTCTGTGACCAGGGGCTTGATTCGACGCCTTCCAAAGGAGACCTGTACGAGTCCCTCGTTCTGTTGAAGACATTTAGTAACGCTAAAATAATGCAGAATGTTTACACAGTGGGGCTCGACATCACTAGCATGGTTTCCAGACGGATCGCACTTTGCAAGCGCGGGAGAAGACCACATTATCAGAGTATGGAACGCGAAAACGGGGGAAGGATCGATCGACGCTTTAGCCCATCACACCGACAGCGTCACCTCTATCGACATCTCTCCCACGGGATCAATGTTGGCTAGCAGCTCTCAAGATCGGAATATTTGTCTCTGGAGTTTGGATACCAAGACGCTCGCCGCAGATCCTATGATCGGCCACACCAAAGAAATCACAGTTATCAAGTTCACTCCCGATGGTTTCCATCTCATCAGCGCTAGTACCGATCGCACAATACGTGTATGGGACGTACAGGCTGCCGCTTTGCTTCACGTCATTAAAGGACACAAGGGCGCTATCTACTCTCTCAGCGTTGATACAGGCAGCTCAAAGCTGGCAAGCGGGTCAGAAGACGGAACGGTGCGCGTTTGGGATATCCAAACGGGCTCTGTGATAGCGGGGCCGTTCGGGCACGATGATGACGTGCTGTCGGTTTGTTGGTCCCCCGATGGAGACTCTATACTCACTAGCTCAGAAAATACTGCGCGGGTATGGAGCGTCTTCAAGGGCGAGCAACTCCTCACCGTCAATCATGAGACTCCTGTGCGCTGTGTACAGTACGCCCCCGATTCTCAGACATTCTTGAGTGTCGTAGACCGCAAGATTTCCATATGCGACGCAATAACTGGCGAGCACGTCCGGTCTCTCGGGCACGACGACGAAGTCTGTAGTGCTTCCTTTTCTCGGGATGGGTCACGGGTTGCAAGCGGGACTCAGGATGGGTACATCCACGTGTGGGATGCTAAAAGTGGAAAGCGGCTCTTGGGCAAAGTGCGTTTTACATCCACACAACATGAACCAGGCCACATAAATTGATCGTCTTTAGGGTGTGGATGACAATTGCGAAGAAGGTCACTCTATCCAGGGTAATAGAGGGAACGATCGAGAGGTAGGAGATCAGTATTATCCCAGAATATACGGACGCTGAAGGCGTGTCCTTAAGCAGCGATATTACGAATCTGACGAAAGCGTCATGAACGTGAGCCATGCTGCCCTTCGAATATTTAGCTTTGAATCCGATTAAGTGTATATACAGTTTTCACTGACTCGTCGACGACGAGGCCCAGTCGACAGTAACAGGCATCAATTCGACGTTCAGAATGAAGGGTTTTCTCTTCAAAACGAGACGACACACGTGGATGTGAACAGTACACGTAAAGGCCGTGGCATAACTTCCGCTCTCAAAAAACTCTTTCGGTTTTCCCGTCGTCATCACGCACGAATTGACAATGATAGCCAGCGCTCCAGAGGGGTCTCCTCAAACCTTTCAAACCTTCGCCTGTCCAACATGCGTCATGGTGAAGCTGTATCTGTTGCTCGAACCAGAGAGGTACGGATTACATATTTACCTCTCTACTATCGTCGTGTATCCCACTGATAATTCTGATAATACAGCTTCTTTATCACGCTCCCGAAATTAATGGAATAGACGAATCCAGCTCGGATAGCACAGAAGAGCATGTTGGGGTCGCTTCCGAGCGTAGGCAACCCGGAACTCCGCCAGCTACCCCTCATGATCAAGATCGCGCGCTATCCACGGAAGAATTCGGTTTGGGTTTTTGCATCCCTTGCAAAGTAAGATGGACGCGTGCATCACGACGATTGGAAAGAGTGTGAGGTCATGTCAGAGGATTTCAAGAGTTAAAGTTCCACAGCCTCTTTTACTAAGCGACTTATTAGCTGAAAGGAGGCTTTTTGCAATGACGTTGACAACTAGAAGCGCACGCTTACATGCACAAATAAATGGTTATTATTTTGAGCGAGCGAGGATATGTTTCAAATAATTTTGGACTTATGTTGTGGATCCTAAAGATATATACCCTCTCCATTGAAGGCCGAAGTCCTCTGTCTGTGCTCGAGGTCACGAACGCTAAGTCTAGTCAGGGGTGGTGGCCCATCCGGCGAGTGCCGTGAATTATTCAACGTCCGACAGGTCTCGGGGACGTTTTGCATTTTTATTGTCTCTTTCGCTCAAGCCTTCAAAGTTTCACTGGTGCACTAGCTTATCAGGCTCGCCGGCAAATCGATTGTCTCTCTGCAGCTCATGACACAGACGCATGTATCCTAGGCTTATGCACTGGTGATGGTAATGGACATCTACAAGATTTTCGCCACTTGCAGTATTCGTCTCGGTTACAAACGCATACAAAAAGGTCAAAGGTGAAAATTTCGTCTTTCCATTGTTCAGTTCTCAACGCCCATGGCAGACTGTCGGAACGTACAGCTCCCTCCGTCCTTTCTCGTCTCCGTCTTTGAACTTCTCCTGGCTCCTCATTTCACGGGTCATTCAGACTTCGACAAGCCCACACCCAAGTATGCCATACGGAATCTTCTGCACGTCTGCCAGAATTGGCGCAATGCAGCCACAGCGGCACCGCACCTCTGGAGGAACGTATCGTTGTCCTGGTCGCCCGAGCTAATCTCCGGCGTTGTCACATGGTCTGGTGCAGAGGATCTGGCGCTCTACTGCACTGAGCACCCTAGCCCATCGCCTGAGAATCCAAAGGTTGTCGCATTACTCGAGGGAATCCATCGCATTGACACCAAATTTCTGACTCGTTGCGATGACGCTGACGATGGCGCGCTCGGGCGTACGCTCTCACTGATGACCTCACTTCACACTCTTGACGTCCGTTCGCTCGTCCCAAGTCCTTTCCACCTACCGACGATCCGTCGTCTGCGACACCTTCATATGAGGGGTTGCGGGGTACGCTTTGATGATCTAGCTTCATGCCGGGTGACTCATCTGACCATCGATCGCGATTCTCGGCCAAACCCAGTCATGACTCTTGAGGATCTCCATCGGCTTCCCAGTGCCTTGGCCGTGCTCAGGCTGATCGCTTCCACCACCATTTCCGCCGACGTTGACCCAGACAATGCTGCCAACTGGATCCCAGTGTTGGAAATTTACCCCCATCTTGAGCACATATACCTCGAAGGCGATCTCCAGACGTGTTGTACCTTCTTCAGGATCATCGGCTATATGACGGTTGCGCAGCTCCACTTGCGCTGCCGCTCTCTTTCCCCGTCCGACGGCCCGCTAGACGCGGCCTCTCCAGACCATATCCTCGCTCTCATTCACGGCATCTCCGACAGATTCTGGAAGCCGACACCACTCGTCCTCGACAAATGCGAGTTATCTATTTGCCAGTATCAAACAGCCAGCGGATATAAGTATCATGGGGCGCCCGTTGGTTCACGTCTGTGAAGTGTGGTCACGATCTTCGCTTCTCCGTCGATCTCAGCTCTTTCGTCTCGGAGGATTCCGTGTGTGATACCCTGGAAGTGCTAACCCCGACCCTTCCCTACGAAAAGTTTCCGGTGGTCCACATCGCCGGTTTTGGCTTGACGTCGATCAACAATATCCAAAGGCGACTTTGGGCTCTGTTTAACCACAGTCATATGACACGCCTTACTGTCACGAATTGCGATCCTCAAGGACTTGTGGCCATGCTCGGGCAAGGTCTTCTAGTCAACTCTGTACCTCCGCCATTTACGGTAGAAGATAGCCGTGTATGTAATGGAGGTGAGTAGTTCCTCCTAACACTTACATTCTCTTATGCTGACGGCTTGCTCTAGCCAAGATGGCCCATCATAGGTTTGCAGTGCTGCTGGATGAGCTCTGGGTCTATATGCCCATAGCGGCTTATGGTAACGACAACCTTGGCTTGATCCAGTCAGTCATACTAGTGAAAGAGGCAAACGACCTCCCGTTGAGATCCCTAAAGGACTTGATAGAATAGCGGACAGATCATCGTATCTATGCCGCCCTAACGTGCTGATATGCAACAAAATCGATAAATTTTACTCTCTTTGGCTCGTCGAACGAATTTGAATTGAATTGAATTGAATTGAATGATCATTTCAATGTCATGAGGGCGATAAGCCCTATGACGGACAGTACTACGCTGAATACATGCAATGGACTAGCTAAGCGAATCATGCTTACACGTGCCCGACACCCAACAGGGTGTGGACACCATGCCCCCGAGCCAACGAAACCAAAGAGGAGGTAAAAAGTTGACAATCGCCCCCGAGTGGAGTACTGGTCCCGTTGTCTCTGTCATAGTGTAACAGGATGAGCGCCCCGGCGAAGCGGCATGCGGCTTAGGCTGTAAACTCCCCCTGTTGGATATCACCATGTGTCTGTCGGAAGACTCGTCGATTGATATAGCCCGTGCTCGATATCAAGGGAAAGTGCTAAGGGAAAACAACGGAGTCCCGTTGAAATCCCTAAGCAATTTGCCTCGGGACGTGTCTCGGTATCGCTATCGTGGAAGCAGAACATCTGTGCAGCTGAAGCGCGTCTAATAGACCATTAGTAGTAGATAGATCGTGAGGAATGAAGTAATCAGGTAGAAAAGTTGTGACAGCATTCGATTGGTTGGGGATGCTTGAGTGGTTGCGAACCGCGACCGGCCGAGTAGACTGTTTAAGCCCAGAGCTACGTGAGTTGATGACAATGGAACTTACCAGAGTGCCTGGCTCCTGGCTGAGCCATATCTCGCCTCCCCAACAAACAATCGCTGAGGGATATTAAACAGTGGCATCTGCACATCATTACCTATCCCGATCTCCCGATGAATGTTATTAGCTCGGTGCAGAAAGGACATTGGTTCAATCTGAATCATCCCGATGTCAGCACGGAGTGCGAACGGCGTACCACGACATCATAAACAGGCAGCGTCAGCGCTGATGAAAGAAGATGGCAAATGGGACAGTGGAGTCTACAGGTCCAAGTTGAAACCGACTCATGGCGAATCGGTAGGGTAGCTCGATCATAAATGCATAAGGTCACGGATGCTTCAGTCGAAGGGCGCAGACAACGCTGCTGCTGTCCAAGCCGCCTTCTACGCGGAACCGGGACCATCGCAACATCACGCCTTGCGCTTCCGCGAGAACGCCATCCGATTTCTGGATGCACAACCCTCACACCACCTCACACTCGAATGGACACCGGGCCACAAGGGCATACAAGGCAACGAAAGGGCCGACGAACTGGCCAAAGAGGGGACAGAACTCCGACCTGAGCACGACATGCCGACGTTCACTGCGATGCGACGCCTGGCAAAAGAAGCGACCATCGCCACATGGAAATGCCTCTGGCAGGCAAAACTCAACAGAGAAGACGGCCGGTTCCGCATAGCCAACCGCTTCCCCCCCACCCTCAAACCCCGACCCCATTTCATTGAAAACGACCGCGACATCTACGGACGGATGCTGCAGATTCGCACTGGCCACTGTTTCGCCGGCGAATACTACGCGTCCTTCGTCCCTTCGGAACCGCGCTCATGCCCATGCGGAGCACCATACCAGACCCGATCGCACATTCTCGAACACTGTCCAATAAACGATCACGCACGGCACCTCCTGCACGAACCGGGCAAGGACATCGCCCTTACAGACGTTCTGGGCACCAAGAAGGGACTCAAAGGCCTCGCCAAATTCCTAAAGAAAACCAAAGCCTTCCGGAAGGCCACCAGCACTACCGAGGAGGATGATGAGGACCCTTTTGCCACACCTTAGACGCTCTCCGTATCCAGAGGAGCACTCGCAGATTTAGATTTCTCCTTTTCCCCCTCTCCTTTTCTCTATGTTACATACGTCTCGGATCCTTACTAGTACATATGTCCCCCCTCGCATCGTAATACGCCAGACGCAGATGGCCAAACCGCCGATATCATAATATACCCCACAACTACAAGAGTACCTACATAGCATACTACTTCTCTACATCGATACAACTTCATACTAGCACCCGACTACCTTACACCTTCACCTAGCCGCTACTTAATG